GCCCCAGGAGCGGCCGGAGCCGCTGGACGAGCCGCCCTCGTAGCCCCGGCCGTGGTCAGCCTCGTCCAGCCGCGCAGGGCCGTCCTCATCCGAGTCCTGGTGGCCCCGGCCAGAGGGGCCCGCCTTGGTGGAGGGCAGCTGGACCTTCCGGGGCCGCTTCACGGTCTGTGAGGGCAAGCACGGGAGGCGTGGGCCAGGGGCGCAGGGCAGGGGGCCACGGGGCCCAGGCCATCCGCTCAGTGACCTGGGACCCTGGCCACCCTGGCCTCGGCATCCTCAGCTACTAGATGAGCAAGGCCCCCTGGCTGGGCAGCGCACGCTTGAGACACCTGCGGACAGTGGGGCCAGGGCTGGCTGGCGGGGGCCGGGGACCTGGGGCCCCGGGGTGCCCTCTGCGGGCAGCTCACTCACAATGTTGGCCAGCTTGGTGCAGGTCTTGAGGATCTGGATGGCAAAGGTGGAGGTGACATTCTCCATGGACACCCCGTTCACCATGACGATGTGGTCCCCGGTCCTGGAGAAGGGGAGCGGGTCACCTCTGGGCAGCCGTGGCGTCTCCGGGTTTACAAGTCACTGGCGTCCCCAGGCTCACAGTGAGGACCCTGTGGAACCCCCTGTCCTCACCTTGAGTGTCAGGTGACACCTAGAACCCGCTGTGGCCGGAGGGAAGCTGCAATGAACGCTGGGGTCCTCTCGGTCCTGGCTATTGTCCCCAGCCCCCCTTCCTGTGTCCCGCCCTGTCTCTGTCTATGTCACATACTCGCTGCCTCTCTCTCTGAGCCTGGTCCCTGGTTCTGAGCCAGGCTGCGCCATATCACTCGTCAGTCACTCAGGGCCCAGAGCCATTTTAGAACATGATCCCCAGGGGCCTCTGCCCCAGGGCCCCAAACACCGGGCCTCTTCCTCTCCTGCTAAAAGGAGGCTTGGAGGACTCAATGTTCCAGGTGGGCCCTGGGGCGACTGTGACCCCCAAGGATGGCTGTGTAGGAGCAGGAAGCGCCTTAGGGAGATGAAGGCCACGCTGCGTCCCACTGCCAATCCCGGCCAGCCTCCCGGCTCCGGCCCTCCGACCCCGCTACTCACTGAAGCCTGCCTTCGGCCGGCCCTCCGGGCACGACATCGGACACGACCACTGACCCACTGGGCCGGTCTCGGCCTCCAGAGATGGCGATGCCAAAGCCCCGGCGGGGGTCCTGGGGAGACCAGAGAGGGGCGTTGCTGCCCGGATAGTCTGCTGAGCGGGATCCAGGCCCCCAGCCCGGGAGGGAGAGGGAGCCTCACCTTGCAGAGGGTGGCCGTGTGCTGTTCCCAGATGGTCAGCTCCTCCATGTCGGCCACCTGCGGGGAGGGCTGGGCGTGAGGCCATGCAGGCCTGTCAGCATGGGGTCTGACCCCGGGGGGGAGTGGCTCTGACCGCTGGCCCGGCCAGCGAGCGCGCCGCACGCTCTCTTGGGACCTCAGGTTTGGTTTGGTTTTTTCCTTTGGAGAGGTTTTTGCTATAGCGTGCGTGTGCTCACCAGACAGACAGAGAGAGACAGCAAGAAATCACCCCCGGGGGGGATGGCCACGCTGCAGTCCCTTCCCCTCCACTCTCCTCTCGGGATCTTGGGCACGCACGCACACACGCCGGGCATGAGTTTAAGCCACGAGGTCTGGGACTCGAACCACGGTCAGCTACATGGGAGTCCAGTGACATAGCCATTACACTAATGGCTGGTCCCGGACCTCAGTTTTGTCATCTGCAAGAGGCTTTGAGTCAGTGGTTCTCCACCTGGGGTGAGTCTGTCTCCCAGGAGACGAGGGCAGTGACTGGGGATGTCTGGTTGTCATGACTCCTGACACGGAGTGGGCGGGGCCAGGGATGCTGCAGAGCACCACAGTGACCAGGGCGGCCCTATCCCGGAGGGTGACCCAGCCCCAGGTCCCCAGTGCCACCGGGTAAGAACCTGGTTTAACCTGGGGCCCGCTGATGGGGTGGAGGTCCAGGCGCTGGGCCCCACGTGGCCGACTGGCCAGTTTGAATCCCAGCTCCGGTGACTGAAAAGAGATGCAGGGAAGGGGCCAGCAAACAGCACAGTGGCTAAAGGCCCCGACTCCGGTGGTTGAGGGCACTGAACTCCCATGTGGCCGACCACAGTTCAAATCCCAGACCTAGCAGCTTGAAACTCATGCTAAGCGTGTGTGTGTGTGTGTGTGTGTGTGTGTGTGCCCAAAAGCCTGAGAGGACAATGGAGGAGAAGGGATGCTATGTGGCCACCCCCTGGGGGGCGAGTTCTCCCTTCCCCTCTGTCTCCCCAGTCACATGCCCTATAGCAAAACATCTTAAAGAAAAAGAAAAGTGGGGCCAGCAAATGCTGTAGCAGTTATGTTGCTGGACTCCCACGTAGTCGACCGTGGTTCGAGTCCTGGACCCGGCAGCTTAAAATTCCCGCCAGGTGCGTCTGCAGGTGCGTCTGCAGGTGCGTCTGCGTGCGTGCCTGCCCAAGATCCCGGGAAGAGGATGGAGAGGGGGATCCGCGGTGGCCATCCCCCCAGGGAGTTTCACCCCAGGGAGTTTCTCATTTTCCGCCTCACTATGTCTGTCTCTCAGGGAGTGCCTATGTCCTCCGAATGACGTGCGCCCTGTGCCAGGCTCCGAACACCCGTGTGCCCACTCACTGCCCCGCCCACGTGACGAGGAGCCCGAGGCAGGCCCGCAGCTGGAGGGAGGGCTGGCCGGCACAGGCTCCTCGCGTGGCTGACACGGCGCGTGCCTGACACAGGTGAGAACTCCTGCAGCGCCCCGCCCAGGTGCACGGCCGCACGAGCACGCCCCCGCGGCTTCCCGCCCGCGGCGGACTGCGCATGCCCCTCCCGGGGGCGGGGCTCGTGCGATGGCTCCGCCCCCGGCCCGTTCCGGCTCGGCCCGGGACTGGGAAGGGGGCGAGGGGGGCAGGGACAGAAACAAAGCCAGGGGCGCGGCCCTGCAGCCACCGAGGGAACCGGGGGACCGAAGCCCGCGCTCACGGCCAGGACTCCATTCCGCCTCTGCCCCTCCTCGCGCCGCGCCAAGCCTCCGTTTCCCCATCTGTAACGTGGGCACCCCACCCTGCTTTCAGGGCTGCGGTGTAAAGGGGGGCATGGAGTCCTTGCACGGTCACAAGTTGGAGCCTGGAGGCCTCCCTGATTGCGCGGGGAGGGGGAGGTCCCGATGTCACCTGCCGGAGGAGCTTTCTGTCCTTATGAAAGAAGCCATTAAACAAGCTTAGGAAAAAGCCTCCGTGGCCTGGTGGTTAAGGAAGCCGCAGCCCCGGACCCGCAGTGGGCGTGGCGTAGTGGTTACGTCACTGCCTCCCATGTAGGTGACCGCGGTTCGAGGCTGGGACTGAAAACTCACGCCCAGGAACCAGCAAGTGGCATGGTGGTTAAGGTGTTGGACACTCCCACATGGCCAACTGTGGTTCAAGTCCTGGACCTGGTGGCTTGCTTTCTCACTTTCCCTTTCTCATTCTCTGTGTGGTTAAATTAAAATAAATGAATGAATAAATAAAAATTTAAGTAAATAATGCTCTAAAAAAAAAAAAAGCAAAGGGAGGCGGAGAGCGCGACCAGCCAGGCCTGGCGAGGAGGTGACGCCTCCCTGCTGTTTACTAACAAGAGCTACGCTGCCGCTGCCTGAACCTGCTGTAGGGCTGTAGGCACATCCGCGCGGAGAGAGGGCTGCCCAGAGAGGTTCAGGCGTTTGCCGCGGGTCACACAGCCCAGCGGGCGCCTGGCTCCCTGCCCTAACTCACCACCAGGCCACAGCGCCCTAGTTCTCCCTTAAACTTATTCTTCATAATCACGTTTTCTGCTTTGATGTCATCCCTTGAGTCATGAAATGACCCCCAGGAATGGAATTTTGATTTCCTGGCTTTATTTTAGGGAACAGCCCCCAGGGACACACACAGGTGGCCTGGGCTTGTCCCTGCCTGTGCGGGTTCGTCTCCATGGATACCCGAGGCTTTCTCTAAATCCCTCCAGGGCTCCCCAGCGCCCTAGGGATTAAGCCTAACCCACAGACCCCCTCGGTTCCGGCTCCTGTAGCTATTTTCTATTCTGGGCGTCTAAAAGCATCTTCATCCTCTTCCACGTGAGTTGATAATGTGTAGCCTTTCCTCCAGGGGGTGAGGGCTGGGCATGTCAGTCCCCCCCGGGGACTTAAGGTGGCACATCGGCACCTCCGCCCCCCCCCAAGCCTTTCCACCAGACTCCTGGCAAACTGCTCTCCATCCTTCACGGCCCTGGCAGACTCCTCTCCGAGTGCACCCCCAGCACCTGCACCTGGGACTCACCCCACACACCCCCTCTGGCCCCAGCTGTCTCCCCACATTGCCCCCAGGCTGGGGTTCCCGGTGGTCAGGATCCTGAGACCCCAGCGTTGTCCCAGCAAGACCAGGGCCAGCGGGGAGGAGTTCCAGGGAGGACTGAGGGCGGGGGAGAAGCGCTTCCATCGGGGACTCGGCGGGTGTGTCCGGAGCGCCTCGGCCCCGCCCGGTCCAGGTGAGCTTCGAGGGGCGGGGCCTGGGCTCTCGCCCGCCCGCGCCACGCGCCAGGTACAAACACCTAGAGGAGGGGACTGCCCGCCGGGGCGCAGTCACACAGCCCCGGGCAGGTGGCTCCCCCTCCCCGCCCCCCTCCGGGAACAATGGCAGGCGTCGGGGAGGGGGTCAGGGCTGGAGCTGGGGAGGGGATTCTGGGAGCTGTTCCCGGTCGTCTGGCCCCAGGCGGCGGAGACCAGAGCCGGCCCTAGAGCGTGGGGCGGCGGCCTCAGCTTACCCTTCCCGACCCGCTGGGAGTGCGCCCGCGCGGTGGGCGTGAAGGGGCGACCCACCCCGGCCCCGCACTGTCCCGCAGCCTGGCTAGTTCGCCAGGGCCATGCAGCCCCCTCCCCAGGGAAGTCCCCGCCGCCGCCGCACCTGGGGACGGGGCGGGGACAGCGCACCTGCGCACCTGCGCCGCGCCAGGCCCGAAAGCGAGCGTCCCCTGCAATTCCCCCCACGACAATCGCCCATTTCACAGGTGGCGTCCAGAGAAAAAGGAGCCGCGTAGATTCGCTGGTCCCAAGTGACACCGGAGAGTGGACAGAAAACCCAGGACTTGAACCCAAGTCTCCAAAGCAATGCAGACAGCCCCCGGCAGCGGAAGCTGCGGGAGGCAGCTCGGGGGTGGGGGAGGCGCACGCCTCTCGCTGTGCAGCCTCGGGCTGGCCGCCGCACCCCTCTGGGCCTCCGTGTCCCCATCTGTACGTCGGTGGAGGGGGTCGGGGTCACACTCCTGTCTCGCCCCCACCCGGGCCAGATCCCCTTCCGTGCCGCCCTCAACGGGCTACTCGCCTGGAATCTCACCGCCATGGTCCACCCTGGGGCTGTCCTGCGCCTCCGCCCGAAGGGGGCCTGGAACCGGTCAATCGACCCCCACCTCGGGCTGGGAGAGGGTCGCAGCGGGACCCGGGCAGGCTCCGGCCCTCCCGCCGGCTCCGCGGCTCCCGCTGCACCTGCACCTGCCCCTCTTCCTCCTCCAGGTCCGCAGCCGCCCCGCCCCCGCCCGACACGCCTCCGGGACGCCGCGAAGGCTGCTCGCACGCCCCAGCTGAGACCCAGGCCGCGGGTGGCCGGGCCAGGCCCGGCTTTCCTTCCAGCCGAGCACTTGCCCCAGGGCCGGGGCTGAAACCCGGCCTGACGGGGTGCAAGGAAGACCCGGCGGGGACGCCCTTCGAGCTCGGAACGGAGCCGGAGTCGGCCGGCTCTGCGTCCGCCACCCCGGCCCGCTCAGACGTCCAGCCGCGGGCCCTGCGCGCTCAGGAGCGGGTCGAGGTCCAGAGACCTCCGGAGCACAGGAGTGGCTTCCCACGCCGCCTCCTCGGCGGAGGCTTCTGTGGCCGAGGGGAAACTGAGGCCCGGAGGACAGGGCGGACGGTGCAGACGCGGGCGGCCGCCACGCCCTCGCCCCTATTCCCCAGGCGCTGGGACGGGCCCTAGCTGGGAAGGGGCGGGCGGAATTCCTGGGCTGAGTGAAGGTCAGCAGGAGCCCGGCCTCGCCCTCTGGGGCCAGGATTCTGGGAAGGCCAGGGGACCCTCTCGCTGGACTGAGTCACCTGGGTGGGCGGGGCGGGGGGGGGGTGG